TGCTCCCCCTCATGTGTGGCAACAGGTTCTATAGGATTCTGAACCATGGGTTCCTCATCCTCATTCGTAGTTGCCATAGGAGGAATAACAACAGGTGCTGGCACCACAACATCTTGCATTGTAGGTGTAGCAGTAGCAGGTAGCTCAAAAAATGGCTCCTGAACCATCAGAGTGGGTGCATACACCCGTTTCTCCTCAAGATCAATTTCTCGAGCTACCATGCTCCCCCTCATCATTTCATCCTCTAGGAACACAGCGTGTCTTATTTCCACAAACTTTGTATGTCTATCTGGACAGTAGAAACGAAAACCTTTTGACTTTTCTGGGTAGCCAATGAAATGGCAACTTACTGTTTTGGGATCTAACTTCCCAATGTTTGGGTTAAATACTTTAGCCTCAGCAGGACTCCCCCACACACATAAGTGGTTTAGTGAGGGTACTCTACCTGTCCACAATTCATATGGTGTTTTGGGCACCGACTTACTTGGTACTCTATTGAGAATATGAATGGCGGTTTTTAACGCCTCCATCCACAGGCTTAACGGTAAGGTGGAGTAACTTATCATACTACACATCATATCCATCAGGGTACGGTTATGCCTTTCAGCTACTACATTCTGCTGAGGTTCGCCCGGTGTTGAATACTGGGCGACTATACCATTCTCCTGTAAGAACCTTGCAAAAGGTCCAGGAACTTGTCCATATAGGGTATGCCGACTGTAGTACTCCCCCCACGGTCAGACCTGACTACCTTAATCTTTAAATCATGCTGATTTTCAACTTCTGCTTTAAATATTTTGAATTTATCAAACGCTTCTGTTCTTTCTTTAATTGGATAAATGTAGCCAAAACGAGAGTAATCGTCTGTGAATGTTATGAATGAATCATAACCATCCACACTTTTCATAGGAAAAGGACCACATATGTCTGTGTGAATTATCTCTAAAATTACTGTGCTTCGTTTGGTATCCTTTTTAATTTTCTTTACATACTTTCCTTTTATGCAATCTCTATATTGTTCTAAATCTGAGAGCTCTAATGGAGGAAGAATATCATTCTTAACTAGTCTTTCTATTCTCCCCCTCGAAATATGGCCTAAACGACAGTGCCATAATTTCGACAACACATCGTGAGCTCTCTTTCGTTTTCTGTTTGCATTGTTCGATGATGATACATTCTCATTCACATCACATACGGAATTCACATTTTCACGAAGTGATAACAAATAAAGCTCGTCTTGTCAGAAGGCAAGACCAATACATCTATTATTAAACAATATCTGACATTTTCCATTTTCAAAATGGTAATCATAACCATTATGGTCCAACTTTGATACACTAATCAAGTTTCTTTGCAAAGAAGGTACATAAAGAACATCTCTAAGAAAAAGTATGAAGCCATCAGCAAGCTCTAACGGAAGATCGCCAACGGCCTCAACATCTGCTTGTACTCCATTTGTGACTTTAATGAAACTTTCGCTTCTTTGCAAAGTTCTCATCGAACGGAATCCCTGTAAAGAATTAGCAACATGAATAGTTGCACCTGAATCAATCCACCAAGTAGATTTTGAAAACTTGACATATAATGATTCATTTACGAACGTAATAATGTTCTCATCTTTATTTTTTATAATCATCTTTAGGAAATCGGGACAATTCTTCTTATAATGTCCTGTCTTCTTACAATAGAGACACTGGTCTTTATCCACTGGGAATTGCTTGTTCTAAGACTGTTGCATGGGACCCTTTCCAGATGACTTGGAGGAAGAGCTGTTATTATAGTTCTTTTTCTTATTATCTTTTAGGTAGTTGATCGTACCACCCTGTGAAACTTTTATTCTTTCCTCCTCCTGCACACACATGGCTATGAGCTTTTCTAGATCCTATTTTTCGGGCTATATGTTATAATTAACAACAAAAATATCAAATTCTTTAGGCACAGAAGCAAAAATCAAATAAATAAGAAAATCATCTTTGAGTGCCAAATCCATTGGTTTGAGCTTAGATGCCAAATTGCTCATTCTCAGTATGTGCTCTCTAATGCCACTGCCGCCACCAGAGTACCTTTCTGTCACCAGCTGCTTGATCAGCTGGGTTGCATATGTCTTTGAAGAGCCAGTGAACTGACTCTTTATTCTTTTTAGGTACTCTGTGACCGTGTCATAGTCTGGAATTGAGCCCACTATTGCAGGCTTAATTGTATTCTTTATCACGGCCAAACATTTCTTATTGGTTGTGACCCACTTTCTATATTTAAGGTCAAAAGACATCTTTACGGGAGCAAAGTCCCGCTCTCTGTTCTGCCATGCAGCATCAGTCTCATCAGTCTCTCTCACCGGTGCCACAGGTTCTTTGGGACACGGTGTGGTGACTACCCAGTCAACCTCATCCAAAATGAAGGCCAGGTCGATCTTTTTCTTCCATTCAATGTAGTTATCCCCTTTGAGAGTTGGGATATCTTTGATATAAGCCATCAAGGAGTATCCTCCTGAAAACACAATTTATCTTTAAAGTGAGAACATAATATATATAAAAAAACAATAATTTGCATGCCTTAGTTTCAACGTTGGTCAAAATTAAAACATATAATTGTTTTATACATTAAATCTACATCACCGTTGGGCAGAAATAGAAATAATGCATAATCATTAAAATCATAATATTGCTATTAACAACGTTGGTAAGAAAATAACAATATCATAATCAACTCATATTCATTTCTTGGCTCTTAAAATCAAATTCTCCCGTTGGTTCGAATTTAATTAAAAGTCCATAACAACTTTAAATACGCAACGGAAACTTTGAATAAAATTCTCATGATAATATTTTCCAGAAGCAACTTTACTATTTACTAAACAAAAAATATCGTTGGATAAATTTTGTACAGAAATTTGCATCAAAATGCAATTCAGATTCATCTAATATGCATCAAATTGTTTTATGGAAAATAAAAAAATTACTATTTATTTGGTCATTTCGGCCCGATAGCCAAAACCAGCCCGCGGCAGCCGAGCTCACTTAACGCGCGCTGCGGCCCAGTAGAGCCCACAGCCGGCTCGCGCGCGCGGCGCCTCCGTGCCCAGGCCGCAACCTAGGCCTGGGCCGGGAAACTGTCCACCCGCCTGGGCCTAATCCGGCCTGGGTGCCTACTGGCCGTCGATCGCCGATCGACGGTCCTCCTCACGTTTCGTCCGGATGAAAACCCCACGACGGCCGCGGCTCCCCTAAAACCCTAGGTCATTCTTTCCCTCTCCTTCTCTCTCATCGCGCAGCTCTCTGAGAACTAGCCGCAGCAGCAGCCGTCCTCGGTGGCCGAGGGAGAAGAAGAAGGGCTTCGCCCAGCCGCCTCTCGCCGGCGTGCGTGCGTGCTTTCGCCCGAGGCCGAGCACGCCGCCGCCGTCGGGGCCGCATGGTGGTGCCTGTTGTCGTGATCAAGACATGCGAGGTGCCGGGCGGCTCGTTGTTATTTATCTCCGCGCTGCTCGGGAGAGACGCCGCCATGTCTCTTTCCGGCGGTGGCGATGTGGCTGGCGGTGGGTAAAGCCAGTGTAGGCTTCCTTTCTTTAGGGTTAGGGTTGGTTCTATTGGATCCGAATCGAATTCGAACTCCACTTTTTTCTTTTCATTCGTTTTTCTTTGCTTTTGATTTGGAAAACCCTAGATCTACACCCTAGGCTGACGAACTGCTAGGGTTAGGGTTCTTTATTGAAACCGTGTCCACTTTTCCCGTACCCGATCTGATCTAGGGTTAGGGTTCGATTTACTTTTCTTTCCCCAATCCAGATCTACGAACTAGACAGGCGTCTGATACCATTGTTAGACCCAAAGACCACCTAGAGTAGCATCTAGTCGGGTGGTTCTTTGTATTTGGGATGAACAAGTAGATAATCTAATGAACCGTACTACAGAGTGATAGAGAGAGGAGAGTGGATGGGAGTGTACAGACCATCGGAGGGCGCCGTCGAGGAGGATCCGGCCATCTCGTTCTGTCGGTGACGTTCTGCGCACGGGCAGCGATGGTCGGAGAAGAGTCGGTGAAGTCTGTCGACGCGGTGGGGTGCAGTGAGGCCGACGGTGATGACGGTGGCGTCTTCCCGTCGCTGGCTGCGCTCCCTTACTAGATCGAACTTAGGGTTTGTTGGTGGGGCGGATTGGCTCACGATGAACCTCGTACTATGAGCCGCCGACCCCCACCACTTTATATAGCGCAGTGCGACGGGGGCTCACCAACCATGTAGGGTTGGGCGCCCCCGATCAGGACGCGTGACCAAGGCCCAATAAAGCCGTTGGCTGGGAGATCAATCCAACAATAGCTAAATCTCTGTGGATCTAGACGCTACATAAAGGAAATGGGTATAAATTGCAGACTTGCTGCGCATTTCGGTGTGGTAGTGATCTAGTCTTCCATGCACGTGCAGAACTTCTATTAAGGTTGATTATCACTTTATTTGTGAGGAAGCATCATCAAAATTACTTGATGTGAGAATTATCTCCACTGAAGATCAAACAGCAGACAAAACGATACAATATAAATTATGTAGTGGAGATAAACATCTTAACGACATTAAATGTCAAAACCCAAAACTAGGAATTTGTAGATGTCATCTAAAGCTACAATTTTCATATATAAAGTATCTTCGTCCGACACTATACAAGAAAGATATGATTTTTCTAAAGCGACAAGCTCTAGTAGGCGATTAATATACTGTTAAAACTTTATATTATTATTTTTTAGCCACATATTAATGACCTCAATGTATTTAGACCGCTGCTGGTGAATTTTGACTATGATTCAGGGGCTGTTAGCATGGTTAGTTTCTTACAAGAGGTAATTTGTTACTCAAAGATTTGACCGAGTTCTGTTAAAACCGAGCCAGATAATGTAGCTTAATTTGAAGATAGCGTTGTTTTGTAACAAGAGTCAGCATTTGACCATTTGTTGATTGATTCGGCACTAACAGAACTCAGACACAAGTCATTTCTGGTCTTTTGTTGCACACTTTACTGGGTCTTGGTGAAGTTGAAGTTGCTGCACGCCGTAAAAAACGGCACCTTGGCAAACCCGAGCTGCTGCTTCTCCAGATCGAACTGCAGCAGGTGGTTCTCCATCTGGAACCCTCCGACCACCACCGCTGCCGCAGCGGGGTCCCCGGCCTTCACCCCCTTCATCTCGACTAATGCCAGGCACGCCGTCTGGCCGTTCACGTCCACCATCGTGCTGCTGCCGACGAACGTCCAGCTGTTGCCGTCCTCGAGCACCAAGGCGATGTCCGGCACGGCGTAGCCGAGGCGCGTGTTCCCCAGCATGCTGGACCTGTAGCAGAGCTCGAATGGCGCGACCGCGGGGACATTGGCGTCGTTCCTTGCCAGGGCCCTGTCGAACGCCTGGACAACCGGGCGGTACACGTCCTGCCGGAGCGCGGTGTACAGCACCCTGGTGCAGAGCACGACGCCGCCGGTGGCCAGCGCGGACGCCGGGAGCGGCACCCGCGCCTGGTTGACGGCGACGCCATTCACCGGGATGTAGTACAGGGGGTTGTCTCTCCTGCGGCGGAGCGCGGTGAACGCAAGCGTCGCCGTGAGGTCCCCGACCGCCGACTCCGGGAGGAGGAACAGCGGGGCCCCGCCGAAGACCGCCACGCCCTCGCCGCGCCTCTGGAGGCAGAGCAGGAACCTGTTGGCGACGCGCTGCGACGCCGCGACCTGCGCGGGCAGGGCGAGGCCGGCGTCCGCGAGCCCCGCGACGCCTGCGGCGCCCGCGGGCAGCCGCGGCAGGAGCTTCTTCGGGGCGCACGCCGCCACGGCGCGGACGGACACCTGGCTCAGCGGGTTCCGGCCGTCGGTGGTGTTGGCGACGAGCCTGGTGTGGACCAGGCTCGCCGCCGCGCACCGCCCCGTGACGGGGTTGTACGGGTACGCCGTGCACTGGGTCTTGCTCGTGCAGGGTTGGGCGGCGATGCTGCAGCTCGGGGCGCGGTAGGCGTTGGCGAACTTGCATGCCGGGTCCTGGCAGGAGATCTTGGCTGGCAGATGGTCGGCGGCGCACGTGGACCAGAGGAGCGGGCCGGCCAGGTCGATGACGTGGTTGGCGCCGTCCCTGACGGGGATGGTGTAGAGGGAGGTGACCGTGTCTTTGGACACCGGGAGGAGCACGGGGTCGGCGCACGATGCCGGCCATGCCAGCAGCAGCAGCGAGATGGCTGAGAGGAGCAGGGGCTTACGCCGGCGTGGTATCTCCATCCGTGGTGGCCGGTGGGGGTGGTCTGGTCCACGGGAAGAAGCTTTATGCAAGTGAGTTGGCTTGTGAATGGCGTTCGATGTGCCTGCTCGCGATCAGTGATATATGTAGTGTCACTTGGAGCTTGCTCTTCCATACGCAGCTGCTCCTGTTAATGCATGGAATCTAGACTCGGAAGCGACACCATTGCTGGATGCTGGAATGCAGGAGCCAGGGCCAGCCTGTTGTCCACACCGTCTCTCTGACGCGCCGTGTTCACCTGTCACGAGGAACTCGTTTAATGAAGTGTCGAGCTCTATGCACGCAGGAATGGCAATGGCGATAGATCTCCGTCGCTTGCTGAAACTGTACAGAACAATGGGGTCGTAGCCTACCACCATGCGTCCATGCCGATCGGATCCTGCCGTGGCCGCGTGGCGTATGGGCGAAGCCAAGCATGGAAGTGCGTGCGAGTCAACGGAAGAGTGCGCACCTGTCAGCCTGAAACCAGGAGGGAACCCAGGAGGAGCATCTCTCCTTTGGGTACGTGAGCTTCGCGTAGAGCTGGGCCGTCACCGCCAGGCTCCGGAAGGACCGGAGGAGGCTGGCCGGCGCGCAGGACGGCAGGACGCCGTGCGCGCGCGGTGACTTCTGCGGTCGTCGTGCTCCCGTCGTCGGTGGCGGCGTTCGTGGCGATGTCTGCGAGCGTAAGGTTGCCAGCGGCCCGTTCCCCCGTTACGGGGTTGGTTGGATGGGCACGGCACTTGCACTGCCCCCGCCGTCCTTTTTTTGACGACCCTGGAGGGGCCAAGTCCCTACAGAAATTTTATTGAAAGAAAAACAAAAGTTTATAATACAAAACCAGATGTAGGAGGGAGGAGTGTAAAGAGTGACTCTAAGAAACACGAAGAAAGAAACAAAGAAAATGAAACAAAATCTAAGGTCTAAGTCATTTCTAAAGATTGAAGCCATTGAACAAACTGTGGTGAAATGTCTGACTTTACTCTTAGCCCAACTAAATTTAATTCTTTGAAGAAATATCTTCTGCAGTCTTGTATAGTCACTAGATTGCTGTTGAAGATCAATTCATTTCTAGCTACCCATATTGTCCAGCAAAGAAGAATGATTGCTTCCATGAAAAATTGGGAGTGAACTGACTCTTCAGGGCATTGAGGTTGTCAAAGATCCCACTATCAGCTGAGACTGCTAAATTTATTATCCCCCAGCACTGCTGCGCAAATGGACAGTGAAGGAAAAGATGATCAACAGTTTTCTCAGTCCCCTGGTTGTACAATTCACAATTGTAAGAATCTAGGTGCATGTTTTTCCTTCTCAGAATGTTTCTTGTACTCGGTCTATCTTTCAAGAGCAACCAGCAGAAAACTTTATGCTTTGGCTGACACAAGCTTTTCCAAACCCATCTGAAAGCTTGATCAGGTTGATGATGTCCCACAATTAATCTGTACATTCTTGCTGAAAAGAACTTTGTGGACCCCCCTACAAAGGCCCAAATGTCCACATTGTGTTCTAGGATTGTTGTGACCATCAGTTGCTGTATTGTCTGCACTTGATCATATGCTATTTGTGACAGGGGCAGGTTGAACATCTCAAAGATTGACACTAGACTGAAAGACTTGCTTACAAAAATTGATTTATTTTTTGCAAAAGAGTAACATTCAGGAAAGTCTTGTTGGAGTGTCTGAGTTAGCCATTTATCCTTCCAAAACATACAGGTCTCCCCATTCTTGATCTGGATGGTTGTTGTTTCTTTGAATTGTGGAATTTGGTTGACGATGTCTCTCCACCAAAATGACCCCTTTTTTATGTGATTTGGTAACTTTCCATTCCTGTAATGCTTATCCCAGATTAAGTTCACCCAAGGGATGTCTTTTTTATTATAAAGCTTATCCAAGTTCTTCATTAGCAAAGACTGATTTTGAGCTTCAATATTGATTATACCTAAGCCTCCTTCTTCTTTTGGTATGCAAACCATTTCCTATGTAGCTTTGGGCTGTGTTCTCCCATTGACATTTGAACCTCTTCACAGATAATGTTTTCTGAACTTATCAATCTGCTTGATTACTGCTTTTGGTAGTTATAGGGAGCACATGTAGTATGTTGGCAAAGCTGAGAGGACTGCATTAGTGATCTGTAATCTGCCTGCTTGATTGAGCATTGAAGAAATTCCTCCCAGTCTTCTTTAACATTTGTTTACCAGGGGCAGGAAATCCTGGATTTTTGGCTTTGTTAAGCCCAATGGTAGTCCAAGGTAGGTGAAAGGGAGACTTCCTTTTGAGCAACCAAATGTTCTTGCCAGGTGATCCAACCTCTCTTCTGAGATGTTAATTGGGAGCATCATTGATTTGCTGTAGTTGACTTTCAACCCTATTGATTCTGAGAAGTTATGTAACAGTGTTTTTAGAAAGAATAACTGTCTAGGATCACCTTCCAGGATGATTAAGGTGTCATCAGCATACTGTATCACTGGGAAGTCCTGAGAGGATTGGAGAGGGATTGGTAGCTTTAGCAGATTCATGTATTTAGCTCTGTTAATCATGACTTGCAGAAAGTCAGCAGCTAGAACAAAAAGTAAAGGAGATAAGGGGTCCCCTTGTCTTACTCCTCTTCTACAGTGCATTGTTTTCCCAGGGACTCCATTAAGGAGGACTTGTGATATTCCAGAGCTAAAGATATTTTTGACCCATGAAATCCATTTATTACCAAAGTCATGAGCTTCCATTATTGAGATTATAGCTTGGTGCTCAATCTTGTCAAAGGTTTTCTCAAAATCAAGCTTGAGAATTACAATCTCCTTCTTGGAGTGGTGGCAAATATGCAAGTATTCAAAGGCCCAAGCTAGACAGTCCTGAATTGTCCTTGTTTTGATGAAACCATATTGGTTTTTATGAACCAGAGGAATAATTGATGACTGTACTCTATTTGTCAGAATTTTGGTGAGAATTTTGACAGTAGTATTTAGTAATGAGATTGGTCTGTAGTCTCCCACATATCTTGGGCTATCCACCTTTGGAATCAAAGTTATGTAGGAAGAGTTAATGCTTCTCAAACAGACATTGTTGTTGTAAAAATCTTGACAAAGACCATAGAAGTCATTCTTGATGATAGGCCATGCTGCTTTTGTGAGCTCATTGTTAAAGCCATCTGGGCCTGGTGATTTATTATTGGGCAGAGTCTTTACAATTTTGTCAATTTCTTCAGTGGTGAAAGGTTCAAGATGCTGTAACTATGAGTTTGATGGTTGAATGGTGAACTCTTTGAACTCTGAGACTCCCTAATCTTTGTCTGAATTCATCCCACAAGATCTGCTCTTTTTCCTGGTGTCTAGAAACAGTGACTTCATCTGAGATGTTGAGTTCAGTGATCAACTTGTTTCTGTGTCTTACTGTTGCACTTGCATGAAAGAAGTGTGTCCCTGCATCACCTAACTGTACCCATTTGATGTTACCTCTCTGCTTCCAATAGGTTTTCCCAGCCGTCCTTCGTCAGCTAAAACAAACCTTGAGTGACAAGTACATGTGCCGGGCATAGAAACCATGTGCCGTGCAACTGTATCGAGTCTGTCATTTGGTATACCAATTTGTCCTTGATTGTTGTAAGCTTATTTGGTGTAGGATTTTTATACATATTTCGCTATTAGTATGGTGTTTGAACTTTTCTATTGAAACTTCTTTTTCAAATTTAAGACTTATTTTGTAATTTTGTACTTATATTCCAAATTCCGAGGCAAATTTAACTATTGTGCACCAAATTACTAAATGGATTTTACTGAATCACATATGAAAATTTTAATTTGGCATACCCCATGAAAAATCCTAGATCCGCCACTGCACGGGGGCATGTGCCCTTAACTCCTCCAAAGGGTGGATTAATAGTGCTAGTTTTTGTATTGCCGGAAGCACTACTTCATGCATTCTCACCCCGTGCAGTTAGTTGTCCCTCTTCGTCTATATAAATACCCCTCTAGCACACTCCATGCGATAGGACGCCCAGTGAGGCAGTGTTTCACCTTACCACTCGACGAGAGTAGTCGAACGATGGCGATCCAGTGCACCACTAGCAAGGCCATGGCAGTTCTGCTCGCCCTTCTTTTCATTGTGACTAACACCGCCAGCCCGCCAGCGGCGTCCAGCGAAGGCAACGCCACGACAGCCACCGGCCTGCCAAGCCCAGCTTCTGCGGCTGCGCATTGTCTAGGTAGGCGAGTAGTGTTGCGTCATTAATGAAATAATGAGAAAAAAAAACTCAGAAAGCTTCTTTAAGATTTGTATAAGCTGCTTATTCATGGAATGGGCTTGTCTTATGGTCTGTCTATTTGAAGGATAATTTGTGATTATTTGGTGATATGATATATAACAGCAGTGTCAAGTAGAAATAGTAGTTGTAATTACTTAACAACAGTGATATAACATATAGTTCTTGTCTTTCAGGTGTTCGACAAAATGCGTCACTAGCTAGGCGAGTAGTGTTGCGTCATATCTTGTGATTTGAGAAATTCCTACACTACATATGCATCTTTTTTCTATTTAGTTACTTACTAATTTGAGCATATAGTGTCTTGATTTCCGTAGCCTATAGAAGAAAACCATGTGAAAGTTTAGGGGCACAGATGCTAGCTTTTGTATTGCCGGAAAATCAGCTTTACCATGCCTTCTCACCATAGTATGAACTTGACTACTTGAGCCCCTCCTAGTATTTATCGTGGATCCGTCACTGCTTATCCTGGTATATACGATTTTGGGATGCTAAAGTTAATCTAGTTTTAGAAGATAGGTTTAGACATTGATTATTATTATATTGAATGCAAGATTATTTAGACCATTTTCAGTGAAGAGTTTCGTAGCATTATTTTCAAGAATACAGAATGCAACAAACATAGTGAAACAATCACTCTCAATGCATAGTTTTATTCTCTTTTTCATAAACTTTAGTTCTATATGACCCATCATAAGTTCGTAACCGAACAAAAAGAGTTTCATCTATATTTAATTATTATATTGATGGTTTAAAAATATTGTAGTTATGTTCATCTTATCTCTTAAAAGACGAAAGTCGCACCATCCGCTCTGGCCTCATATCAAGCCACGTTGCCTGCACCAGATTGGCCACGTCAGCGGGAAAACCCTGGCCGTCGGATCTCGATGGTACGGCTTAGACATCTATCTCACCCCCTTTGGCTCGGAGCACCGCCGCCTGGGGACGCCTCTCTCTGCCTGTAGCGCCGCCTGGGGACGCCGCTCCGGGGTCGCCGTGGGAGGGGGCCCGCCGGGGCTCCCGCGCCCGAGCCCCACGCCTGCATCCCCGCTCGAGCCGGGGTCACCGGTCCGCCGCGACCGCACCACCGCCCGCGCCGGGATGGCCAGGACCGGAGCAGCCGGAGCCGCCACGCCACGCCCGCGGAGCCTCGAGCCCCCTGCACACCTGCACTTGCAGCGCTGCCCACCGTCAACCTCTGCCCCGTTCGCTACCCGAGGCCGGCAGGGAGGTTAAGGACTGCTGCAGTGCTGCCACCGGCGCACTGCGGTTATCAAGCGAGAAGGAGATTGAGGCATATCACCAGTTCACCACCACTTCTTCCTGCTAGCCTCCCCGTTGCGCCCCTCGGCAAGTTCGTCCTCCTCGATGACTCCATGAAGCCTTTCTGAAGCCGGCCGCACCACCGTCGGCCTCATCCCGAGCTCCGGCCACGTCCTGAAAGGGAGTATCCGCCGTCTCCTCCCACGGGTGTTATGTCGCGGCCGCCCTGGGCCTGCAGCTGGCGCTTGGCAAGCAGGCTCCTCGCCCAACCCGTGCCTGCGCTCACATGGAAAGCACATCTCTGTCCTCCGTGCTCCCGTGTGCTTCCTGTTGTTGGCCACCGTTGACCTCAATGAAGCTATCGATGCTTCCATGGATGATGGCCTGAAAGTGTTCGATGAAATGGACACAAGGTATGCATTTTTTTTTTCCGTTTCTTCCTTCCAATATTTGGTTCTTCGCTTTGCCGATGTGTGATTTTTTACAACGCAATTTGGGAGGTCAAACTATTGGTTCAACACTACGGTGACCCAACCATTGAGTCACAAATTGATTGTAGTGATTCACTGATTCAAAATATCAGTAACTCGATTTCACAATTTACCTATCATAATTTTACTCCTTTACAATATCACATTTATGTGTGGTGGGTTCTGCCACAGTTACAAATTCTTTGGGTAGTCCTTTCATCTTAAAAGTTACCCACTTGTTTTCAGTTAGCTAGGACAATATATCATCCAATGTTTTCTTTGCCCTGATGCCACCAGTTTAATTTGTGAGATAATGAATAATCTCACAATCATAATTGTCTGCACTCTTATATTGTATAAAAATCAATCATTAATGTTGCATGATTTGTTCCATATTAATTCCTTGGTATCATCATATCTGAATATCTGAAGTTCTCTGAATTATTTACAGTTAGATCCAGCAAAAAGGATGCCAATTTCAGCAATACTAATCCTGATTTTACTAATTTTAATTCCACTTGCATTAGATTTTTATTTGCAAACATTAACTGAACCCACTTGAATTTCAGTTTCAAAGAGGCGAGGAGGTTACAAAGACATGCTTTATGCTCTGTCCTTCATGCTTTGGCTTATGATACTAAAACTTAATAGTACTGAATATGCTTTGAACAGCGTATCTATATGTGGACGGACTTACTAAGCTCAAAAGAATTAGGATTTAACCGGCTAAGAATAGTATCTATATGTTATACACTATAGTGTGGAATGACAAATGAGACATGAAACGAAGCCATTCCAAAGGAACAAGAGTAACATGTGTAATGAGATTATGTTGTTGGATTGTATAATCTGAAAGGACAAGTTGACAACCTTAGCACAGAATTTTGTTTTATCAATCAGTTTAAGAGATGCTCATCTTCTTACTATTTGTAGGGCAAAATTAAGATCAGAAGGGACATTGTGATGGTTCAGCGCTTGTATGCTGGTGATGGCATGCGTGGTCGTCACAGTTTGTGCCGGAGCAACCTCAACTCTCCAAAAACTTGAGGTGCTCAGCGTCCATGTGCACATCAAAAGTGTTCACAGAATAAAAATGATATCTGTAGATTCACGGTACTCCAAACGAAAATTAATAGACATTTACGTAGCATTCTTGGTCAGATCATTAACTTCATTCATTGTCATATTTTGACATCATCCTTGATTTATCTTCATGGAGATATATTTATTAAAAAAACAACAATGGACAGCTCCATTTTGGGCGCGGCAAGGCCGCGCCTGGCTTTCTAGTTTATTCTAAAACCGTTTTTCATTGAACGGCAACACAATGATATACAAATTAATATGCATGACTGATGTTAACTACACACAAAACATTAAATTGCTTGCAGATGGCCCTTCATTTGTGAGTTGTACGACCTGTCTTTTTAATTAGTCTGATTCTAGTCTCTTGCAGATGACTCTCCGTCTGTGATTTGTACATACATACCCTAACACATCAGTAGCTATCTAACCAGATTGCGACAGGGAGCTTGGCGTGACGGCGGCTGGCCGGCCCCGAGAGCGGGATCGGTTTGCCGGAGCCGAGGCCTAATTAATTAGCACCGGCTAGGTTGTCTTGTCGGAGGTCGTTGCACTGGGGGCTTGGCCGCAAGTGCATGCGCGTGGAGCCGTGGACCTCGGTGATGAAGAGGCAAGAGAGGAAACAGGCGAGGAAGATGAGGCCCACTCCGTTGTGTATGTGTGGTCAGTGTTCACCATGAAACGGATCGGAGCTAGCTGCTGATTTGTATTATCTGATGGCACTCCCAATGCTGGACACCAATTTACTCCTGTGTGCTGTCAGTTTGATTTCATTTCCCGCCGACACCAATAGGGCTCATGGCCTGCCTACCATATCCGGCCCAAAATCAAATTTCAAACGAGGTTCCTTCACCAGTCGTCTGTTTATATTATTATCATACTTTGGGACGAACGCTGTAACTTTCATAGAAGAAAAGGGAAACAAAAGTTAAGATCATGCTTAGGGCAGTCCCAATGTTAGAAACTACATGTAGATTCTATTCTTATTAATTTTCATAGACACTGCATATAGAAATCATGGTTCGAATTGATAGTTTCTACAGAACAATTTTTTTATCCAATCACATACATTCTCTCTCCATTCTCTACCAATCACATCCCTTCATGTTAGTTCTCATGTAGACATGGTTTCTAACTTAGACCCAGTTTCTATGATTTTGCTCTCTTTTTTCAATAACTACATTGCCACATCAGCAAAAACGCTTAGGTGGCAGTACAATTAATATCCATAGAAACTATGGTGGTTTCTGCATTGGGAGTGCCCTTACGTTACGTCCAAAGCAATGTGCAAGATTACATAGTAAAACCATAGAAAGTATGGCGGCCCCGGTTTTTCGTTAAGAAGAAGATCTTCTTTCGAGAAAACCTCGAACCCCGCCCCCATCTTACGTGAGAACCGGGCGAACGTCCAAAGCGAGGATTTTTAATCTCGACTGAAATCCGCTCCACGGAGTCGAATGTGGACACGAGAATAGGTCACCTAACTTGAGCTAGGTAAAACCTTATTAAGAAAGCGAGAAATTAATGAAAGCAGAACACACACAGCGTATTGCATCCCGGCAACCAAAGTTTGCATTTGTAGAATAGAAGCAGTGGTGGAGCTCATCAGTTGCCACGCCTAGGGCCACTGCCCACTGCCTCTCCTCCCTCTTTGCTGGGCCAGGAGTTGACAAGATTTGCCCCAAAACAACATATAGTATAAGGGGGATTTTGGGCCACGCCTAGGGCCATGGCCCTAGTGGCCCTAGGCCCAAATCCGCCCCTGAATAGAAGAAACAAAGGATCGGAACGCACCCCCATCTCAACCTCTCTGCAACCTGTCTCCCCCATTGATTTCTGCAAACTGGTCGGCCGGCCGGCCGTGGAGATTACCGCTAGCCCAGCTGGGGCTGCGACTGCACGTCCACGGTCCACCCCTTGACTTGACGGCTTCAACCCGTTCGGTCCGATGCCACGACGCCACGAGAATAACAATGCTTGCTGTTGCTGCAAAACATATATACATGGCGTTGTTGTTGATCGGTATACCAACGAGTAGTAGTAGTACTAGTTGAGTGAGCTCAGATCTGAATGATGATGCATGTGTCAACTGAACTCGATCGACCAACCTGCAGGCTGCAGCTGCAGGGATGGGAAGATAACCAGCGCCGACGTGCAGCGCATGTCGTCGGTCGATCGCGTCGATATTAAACCCAATTGCAGGAGTCAGTGGAGCAGCCAGCCGGTGGTCACATACGCCGCCACTGTACTGGGAACCGGGATGGATGGATGCTGTTTGACGACGACAGCTAGCCTGCTGACAATTAAAAATGGAAAGCGAAACTTTCGTCAGAAGTTCTGGAACGTCGTTCGACCTGAAATACAAGCTAATGCAAGACATGTAGCAATTCAAGCAGAATAATGTGCATACCAAATGTATATGTCACTCGTGGAAATGAGTTTCTACTCATAGGCGCATGTTTATCCATCCTTCATTACTTATGGATAGAGTTCGGCAAGTCTAAGCTAGCTTACGTATCCTTCTGAAGCAAAAATTTCTTGCTGCACGAACCTGCAGTAGACAAGTCACAGAAATCAAACAACAAAAACAGGCAGTGTATGTGTATGCTAGCCACGCACCTATATAAAAACAAAGAAGCATCAGGAAGAAGGGGTCTTATATACCGTGCTAGATCTTGGCACGCAGTTGATGATGTGGGAACCATCTCAGCTACACGGATGTGACCTCTGGAATATGGGCGATCTTGTGCTTGTCCTCTCCTTGGCACTTCTCGAACAGTTCTGGACAGTTAATTATCCGTAGTTTCTTCAACTCAGTAAGGCCATGTATGCTTTCCGGCAGCAAAGACACCTTTGGGCACTCGTCGATGCGAATTTCTCTCAATGAAGTCAAGTCTCCCAGCCATTCCGGCAGTGTCTCTAAGTCGGCACACAACACTATGGCGAGTTTTCGGAGGGACCTGAAGCATCGAATAGCCTCTGGCAAGGTTCCAAGCCCTGTGATGTTGTTAAGCTCAAGACCCTCTATCGAAGAGATGTGCTGGGTCCGACGCCACCATTCAGAGGAAAGAGATGTGCCCCCAATCACAAGGAAAAATGGAGAGGTACTAGATGAGAGGTTCCCAAACCCATGTTCTGGCAGCACGTGCTCGCAGTTCTCTAGCATCCACACCATGCTCCTTGGGGGGTAAGGCATGAACTTCAGCTTTGGGCAATCCATAGCAGCCAACAAATGCAAATTAGGGATTAAGAACTCGCCTTCTTCAGTAGATGATCTCGTTGTCCACCACGATTCCAAGTTGTCCATTTTATTCAAAACAATCATTCTTAGCTTCTGGCAGCTTCCATAGTCCCCATAAAATTCTCTGTCAACACACTTGAGATCGGGCATGTCAGACAAGGCCAATGCTCTCAGGTTTGGCAGGCGCCCAAGTGGAGGGAGCCGGCTGCACCCTTTCAGTTCAGAAAGAAAGATGCTGGTAAGATGAGGTAGGTAGGAAGGAATGTCTAGCATCCAACTAGGGAAGTCTGCGCTCATATAACCAGAAAGAAAAGGACTTGGAGACTTCTAGGAGGCACGAGTTTCTCCAGTACCGACTTGTCAGCCATTGCATCCGCATGCCCCACCAAACTACCTTTATCATGTTCCCATATGAGAGTCAACCACGTAATACTTGAGTTGTTTGATATTTTAGCTTGTTCTGCCCCTTCCAAATGCTTGACATTCTCAAGACCAATTATATGCAAATCATGGCAGGGTGCCTTCTCAAGTTCCACAATCTGGCCCCATAAATCACCACTTCCTCCATAAATTCCTGTTCGGTTAACTCTCTGAGGTTTAGTTTCTCCCTTAGTTCATCAACTTGAGATTGTATATGAATTGAAAACAATGTTCTTTGGACATATACAAGTGTAGACATGGAAAAAATGCTATCTGGCAAGTCACCAAGGAAAAAGCATCCTTCAAGACCCACAATTTGAAGTTTTAAATCCCCAATATAAGAAGGGAGATGCTCTAGCTTAACACAAAATGACAAATCAAGATGCTTTAACATTGTGAGTTTGCATAGAAAATCAGGCAGCATTTGAACCTTGGAGCAGCTTGTCATGTTCAAATACTCAAGCTTAGAGAGTTGATCAATGCAGTCTGGGAGCTTTTCAAGGTTATGGCAATCGGATAGATCAAGATGCGCCAGACCATGAAGTCGGCAACAAGATTCTGGTAGCAAGTGGAGTTTGTAGCAATTTGATAGGTTCAAAAATTGAAGCATATGCAATTTGCCAAAGGATTCTGGAAGTGTATGCAGTTCATGGCAACTTGCCAAGTTTAGGAAGAGCAGAGCACTTAGGTTCCCGAATGAAATGGGAAGCTCACAAAGGTTGACACATCCTGATAGGTCGAAGTATTGCAACTTTTGAAGACAACCAATGTTTGCAGGCAATGTCTTTAGGGAACTATTTGCAAGTATCAAGGTTTGCAGGTTCAGCAGATGGTTCAAGGATTTAGATAAATTTGAGATAGGAAGGGTGGAAGCATCTAGAAACCTTAATAGCTTTAGTTTATAAACTGAACTTGGAAGATCTGATAAATGACATCCACTCAAATCCAAAACTCTCAAACATAACATCTGTGAGAATGATTGCTTAGGGAGATCCATTCTATCACAACCCCTAAAATGTAGGGCCCTGACCTTTTTTAGAAAAGATGTGTAGTCCAATGATGTCTCATTTTGATTTATCATTAAATGAAAGTGGCTATTCAACTTGTCCTTCTTAGCACTAAAGTTTGTTGCACCATTTGTGTATGAGAATTCATCAGCAGCAACAAGTCTTGCAAGATCGTGCACCATATCATGCATGCGAAGTTTGAGTGTGGGTTTGAATATTCTTGCAACCAACGCCTTGCAAAAGAAAAGAGAGTATGATCTTCAATACAAATATATTCAATTTCACAACTACAATCATGTAAGGATTATTTTACTTACTGTAGAAGATGTCTGGATATTAAGGAAGGACATGCCCAAGAATTCGTCTACATATTCGATGCCAGTCTTCTGAAGTAGTTGCCTGTCAGCACCTTGAACAAACCCCAAAGCAATCCACAGTTGGATCAAGCAGTCATGATCTATATCATGGCTCTTAGGGAAGATAGAGCAATACATGAAACAAAGTTTAAGTTCAGGAGGCATGTGGTAATAACTGAGCAGCAAACCGTTTAAAATTCCTTTGTCATCATCCTTGATATCGAGAATGTTACTATTTTTTATATCCATCCATTCTTCTATTGTGTAGTGCTTCTGCATCACAAAACCTAGAGCCTTAGCAACTAGAGGTACTCCACTGCATCGACATGCAATACCTTTTCCAATGTCTTCAAGGTCAGTAGGCAGACCACTTCCTGGATTGTGAGGTTTCATGATAGACCAGCATTCATCATTTGACAAACCCTCCAGTTTAATTGGATCAACAGTGTGAAAGTATGAAGTATGTATGGTAGATAATGTACTGGCAATCTTTTCACTACGGGTGATTATACTGTTACCTGGTTTTTTCTGGAAAAACTTTCTAACGCCACCCTTCCCCCGCGTCGCTCCCTGGGGCGGCTCGGGCGGAACCCCATCGCCCCCGCCGTAGCCCCTCCCTCACCGCTCCGCCAGCCTCGCCGCCGCTTGAGCGCGCCACCGGGTGTCCGCGCGGCCGCAAGGACGGCGGCGGCGGGGCCTTCTTCCCCTTCCCCCCTTCTTCCCCTGCGCTTTTCCCTCTCCAGTGGTGCTGTTGCGAACGTCGAGGCCCCATCCGACCGTTCTGCGGCGAGAGAGGGCGGATCCAGCGTGCTAGTCGGCCGGATCCGGGCCGCCGGTGGCGAGATCGTGGTGGCTGCGATTTCGCTCGCCCACATCTTCCGGCGGCTGGGACGCGGTGGTCGTGTGGTCGGCGGTCGGGGCTGCCTGGGTGCTCTCCTCCTGTCCCCTCCCTTGCTCAGGCTGCGCTTGGGCAGGGCGCCGGAGGTGGCAAGGGAAGGCGCGGTGGTGCGGCGGTCGGGCTGGCGTCCGTCCAGATGTACAGCGCTGCGATGTGGCCACGCCGTCGGTAATACAAGGCGCTTGAGGCGGTGGTTAGCCATCGGGCAAGACGTGCCAAAAGCAGTGACAATGCCGGCCGAGGCGTTGGTCGGCGGCGGTGTTCGCGCAGCAATGAGTCAGTCCGCTCCGCGTTGCCCGGCCGGAGGGTGACGGCCGACGCAAATTGTCGCGGGTTGCTGCGCATGGCCGGCGGCGTCGAGGCCCCTCTGAAGGGTTTCTGTGGAGCGGCAGGACAACGGTGATGGCAGTGATGGATGGCAAGGGGCCTTGCTTCTTGGCCCGACGTTCGTGCTTGAGGACTCCTTAGACGAAAGCCTAGCGATGGTGACACCTGTGGGTGCCGCTTTCCCTGTTGGGGGCGTCGTGTATCCCCTCTAGCACTATCATCCAAGGGTGAAAGCCCGGTCCACTTTGGACGTGCGACGGTGGCGCCATCGGCATTGCTACCTTCCTGAAGGCGTCGCGTTTGGATTTCGTCGTGGCCTCGATGTCTCCTCGGTGATTGTTCTTCGCTTCTTGGCGCCTCGATGACGCGTGGAGGCGGGTCTTGCTGCGAGAAGTCGAAGCTGCTACGTCAGGGACGTGGCTCAGCAACGATGACACGCAGCGAGCCCCCACCTTCATCAATTTGAAGTGCGCTAGGGTTGCAAGCGCTGGAGGCGAGGCGTGTGGGACGTGATTGAAAGTCGGAGCTGCTCTTTTGCGGGTGCTTGAGCTTGTAGCGATGACGGTTGCGGCCGCTTAGCCGGGCTCGTTGGTGGGTGGCTTGTGTGTGGACTGCCATGAGAAGTCGGAGCTGCTGGCGTCTTCACCATGCTCGCAACGATGACCCATGGTAGTGTGCCGTGTTAGTGCTCAGCTGTGTCGTGTGGGTTGGTTAGCCTATCGGGTGCGCTTTTTGGCATCCCGTTGGCTAGTCCTCTTGTACATAAATTCTCTCTGTCTTAATTGAGCGGCAGAGCTCCTGCCTTTGTTTCAAAAAAAAAATTATACTGTTACCTTTATTTCCAGATTGCAACATGTTAATGAGATTCTCCAACTCAGACCTCCCTTCCTCCCATAAATCATCTAAGACTATAAGATAAAACTTATCATGGAATATGCGATCAAGTTGAGACTTCAGATATTGTAGTCCAGCATTATTAACAGGAGTGCTATTCTCTACCTGAGATATAATAGCAGACACAATCTTACTTAGATCAAAGTCCATAGAGACATGGACCCATGCTTTCACATCAAACATATTTGTTTCCTTGTCAGTGTAAACAACTTTTGCCAATGTCGTCTTGCCCATACCACCAAGGCCAACAATAGGAATAATAGAGCTTTCTTGGTCTCTGTATTTCTGTAACATCTTGTTTAATATGCCTTTCTTCTCTTTTCCCCTTCCTACCATCTTGATTTCATCTCTATCACCAATAAAGGTTTCATTCCTATTTTTATTGCCATCTTGGCTTGTAGGGGTAGGCATCAGTTGTTGCAGAGGGAATTTCTTCTGGTCCTCAACAATTTTATCTAGCTTCATCCGAATATTTCTCGTCTTATTTGACATGGTGATACGCACAATGAGTGGATTAATTGAGGAGAAGAACAATTTAACCTGTAACAATTGTTCCCATACAATCATAAATATAGCCCCTATTTAGCATGCATGTGTGACTAAAATTGTTCTAGAAATGCTATTTTGTTTTTATCAAGTGGAATGGCCGAAATATCTGTTTTAGATCAAATAATTTGTATGAGTACCGATGCTTCACCCTGTCGCGTGCACCAACTTGGACAAACAAATTGTGGTTGTTTCAAATTCACGCCCCCACATTTATGAGGTCTAGACTTGGACCGGTGTTCCTATTCTATTTCTTGGCTGTTTCAAATTCACACCCCACACTTATGAGGTCTAGAATGTTGTAGTCCATGTTTTGGTTGTTCTTGATAAGACTATAGTATGACCACCATAAACTATTAGGGATTAGGATTTTTTTCAGAACCGCGAATATTGTTAAAAGGTTTGTTCAAATCTGTGATCCATTTATTAACAGAATGGTTCCATGTCACTTTGATATTTATTTTAGAAACATTTAAGTAGCAAAACTAACTTCACCACAGCTCCTAGAAATAAAAAAAGAACGCTTCAAATATAAATAATAATAAATTCAACATTAGATAAATGTGACAACTTGAAAGATTACTTGAAATTGTAACTAAAATTTTATTTAAACCATCACCACATGCATATGGTGATAAAACAAAGTATTAATAAAATTAAGATGATACTAACGAAATGTGATTCTAGGTACATAATCGACTTGTGAATAGATTATATTTAGCACCCTCCATGTTGTCTTTCCTAGGCAATCTGTCGATCTTTCATTGTTTCCTTAATTTATAAGTTTGTGATCATAAGTAATCACCGTATGATGGTTGTAATTTAGAATTTTTTTTTCAAGGTGCTATGGTTTGTGTTCTTAGATTTAGAAATTAAAATTTTATAAAATTTTCAAACAACCTCGGATGGAGAGACGTCGTAAACCAAAGTTGTAGTACTCCACAAGATCTAAAAATTTTCAGTTCAAACTTTTTCATTTAAAATCATCATTTATGAACCAAAATATTCAATGCAAAATTCATGAAAGTTAATGAAAAATGATAGAATCCCTCACTTGGTTACAAGTGACCCTGCGGTTTAGGGGTAGGGGGATATCGCGCTAGACTTGAGGCTGGGAGTTTGAATCCCAAGAGGCACATGAGCGCAACCACGGGGTTTCCTAGTGGACTTCTTCCTAGATAAAAATAGTCTTTTTGCTATTTGTTTTTGGCCAACTCATAATTTCTAGAAAATAACTTATAGAGTGGCCACCTTGCCAACCACATCTAGAAATCCATTTCTAGATAACTAGACTTTGACTGCCTCTATCTTTTAATTCTTTCCATAGTAGTGGTACCATAGCTGGATCTGCTTATGTTTCATGAATTATAATAATCCTAGTACTGACAATAAATGAATCACAAGTGCTTATTACAATTATATATTCTCTTGTTACCATTTTTGCAGCTAATTAAGTATAGGCTTTTGCTATTTATCTGTTGATAGATTTTTTTTTGGGTACTAAATATGTCAGATTTCTATACGTTCGATTGTACGTGCTTTAGGATTTGTGCTACAACTATCTATTGGGTTGCATTTATAAAAAAAATATGACAGATTTGATAAGATAAAATATGTCGACAGTATATCTGTTGCAATCATATATGTAAAATTTGTACATGCGTATGATGTGAGGACTCAGCGCCAGGGTTCATATACGTACCGTGCATTTGCTATTTTCCCATATGGTTGCATTAGCCACCAGCTCATCCAACGCATCTTCGATGTCGTAGGCAACAGATTTGTACCTCGTGAGCCAAGGTTGCACTAGTTCGTCACGGCCATCACTCTCTCGGGAGCGCTTGTCGGCATAGCTAAGAGCAAGCTTGAGGTCGATCATAATTCTCTCCATCCCTTCGACATCCTCCTTGAAGTTCCATAGCAGCTCGACCCTCTCCCAGGCTTTATTGCCGAGCATGCCGGCGAGACGCTGCACAACAGCGCCCGCGATCATCTCAGCTCCCCCACTCATGGCTGTATGGCTTTGGTCTCTCACGCGCGCACAGGATTTTTCTTTTCTTTTCTGTGTGTGGGTGTTGTGTCCAAGAGAGCTTGCAGACAGAGTACGTGGAGACGATGTGCTCTGCGATGATATATATACATAGTGCATGCTTGTTTTTTCCTTAGCCTGAAGCTTTTGCATTGATACCTGGAGTGGAGTGTAGTTCAGTACTTGGAACTTGTACTAAAGGCAAACTGAATGCATAGATTTTAAGACAGCGTTACAGATTGGAAGTCTCAGCCTTTGAGGAAAGTATATGGAGTTGGTGTGGCCTTGAAGCAAAGGACAACGTATATATAGGTATCGTCCAGAACGAAAGAGAACCAGCAGCACTTGAGAGGAATCAAAAGATGCAACGTCTAGTTTTAAAGACAAAATCACGTTCGCCGTATGTGTGCCCAAGAAGTCCGCACATATAACAACAGAATAGAGGATATCAGAAATAGTGTTATATAGCGGAAATAAACTAATGATTAACATTTATATCAGAGTATAGCGGAACGGTTACTAAATCTTTTCTTCAGGCTCCATCCTCACAGGGACGGCTGACTGGGGGGATATATGCCTAGCCCTTCCGTCGGTCTTCTGGGAACTCTTCCATGTGTTCTTCAATCTTCTGAGCAGCTCTGACTAGAGACTGGGGTGTGGGGGAAATAACAAGGGTGAGTACTTGTCGTACTCAGCAAATATAACATGGGGTTCATAAAGCTCAAACGGCCAACACTGGTTTACTGCGATTAGTTTATAGGGAGTCACAATTTTAGTAATTGAGTAGCAACAAGTTTAGCATAAGCCCAAATAACCACATGATCATGTAAATAAGAATAATGTATAGCAAGAAACAATAATCATTAGTGTCCATCGATTCCATAAGGAGTCCAGGCCGCTCGTGTCCGTGAGCACGACTGATATACCAGTTTTACACTCTGCAGAGGTTGTACACTTTCACCATAAGCCGTGATTTGCCCTTTCGCCCGAGGTGATCAGCCTCTTGACCCACTACCAAGGAAGGTCGGCAGAGTTCATTATGAAGTCTTTCAAATATTCATTTAACAATTTAGGACCGCTAGGTTTCCAATCGGCAAGGGGATATAGAGCCCCACTTTCAAAAGGCACACTTATGCAGAAGTACTCTTAGGAACAGAGGCCGCACTATACCCTGCTTGTCAAGCCCCTTTTGCGTCTTTTCAGGTAACCACTAACAAGTTAGAAAATGTCCTCATACTTGACTAAAGTCAGAGCCATATATCACTCATGGTTGTACTGTAAGTCCTGGATGATTGCTTACAGATAAGTCCTTAAGAAGAGAAATTTAGAGCATCACAAAAACTATGCTCTAGCACCCTTGTTCCTTGTTGCTAAAAATCATCTTTTAGGGTTTATTGCATATACCATTAGTCAAGTTATAAGATCATGATCTTTAATTGAGCACTAGCATCACTACCCAATGCAATAATCCCATTGGTGTTCAAGGTACAAGTACAAAGCTAGAAAATTCTTAATGGTAATCAATCAAGGTAGACACATGCAATATGAAATTAAGTGTATTAAGTTATTAGGAAGCAATGATGATCCCATGCTATACTTGCCTTATACGCTTGCTCAAACTTTCTCATACTTTGCTTCTGGTCATCACCCTCTGATCTTCAGTGCTCACAAATGATTCTCGTTCTACTCGTAACAAGCACCACGCATAGGCAAACATACTAGCAACAAATAGAAGCAGCTGAGAACAATACACTAGTCAAACAAAGCTTTTAAAAAAACAACGCACTAAGGAACGAAACTTGATACTACGGTCAAGAAGAAACGACTATCGAGAGTTTCATATTATAATAGAAACTAAGTTTGATTTATTTTAGCTAAGCAAAAACAATGTGAAGTATATTAATTCAGATTAATCAAATCTCGAGTTATGACTAGTCATATTTTATTAATAAATATGGCTGTATAAATTAAGCAAATTAAACTTTAACTTTACAAAATAATAACGTGTGAGAATATAAGTTATGTATGACGCATGTTCAAGCTAAGCAATTTATAATTGAGAAACATGATTATGTTAGTAATTAATTATATTAACATTTATGTATAAGATACCGAAGTTTGACACCTATATTGCTTTTAATTATAAAACTATAGTTGTAGGCATATTAATCAAATTAATATCCAAATTATAAATTCTCAAGCACGTGACATGTTAAACACGGATGCTAGAACGTAGATTACATGATACAGATATCAGGATTGTAAGGTTCAAGGTTATTCGACAAGAATGACATTTTTGGTACTTCACGGTCAAACGATAGATCAGAGATAGAGATGATTATTAACATGGGCAAGGAATCAATCTGACCTTTAGTCATGCATGCATGTTCTCTGTTCTTCAAGAAAAATAACTGCACTGCTTGCGTACTGCATAAGGCCCATTCTTGAATTAGTAGGAGAGCACGTAGCTGTGGCATCTTCGTTGTTGGACGTGAACGAGTCGGCTTGCTGAACTTCATGGCTGGAAGCAGATGGACCAATGCATTGCAGCCTTGGCTTGACCGAGGCACGTAATCACAAACAGATGGAACAGTGGTGATGTCCGGAGGTGCCATGCATGGATGGACGCCACAAAAGGTCGAAGTGGATGACGTGATTGGTTGAATCAGAGACGAGGGCGTGTCATGGTGCATCTGTTAGAGACAACAGGCAGCAGCTCGCTTCTTCATGGATGGCTATATCCTTGGCGTCCTTCATGGCCAGCTGCATCTTCTTCTTTGGTTGGTTGCTGATGGTGTCCTCTTCCATGGCCGAGAGGCAGCCATTCTGTCTGGTGCATGATAGTCCAGCTTTCTTGCCAAGATCTGGTGGCCGGCAGGTGGCACTGGAGCAACGACGACATCAATGGAGGGCATCCAACAGCATGGCTTGTCTAGATGGTCGGCGGAGGCAGAGCGTAGGGGCCGCACACGACTAGCGATGCATGTCCATCGGCATGGGATGAACGGATCAGGTGGTGGTGGCTCGTCGGGAAGGAGGCGATCGAATTTTCTCCGTTGTCACCAGGGTGCGGTGCATCATGGCTTGGAATTCGCCGATGATGGTAGTTTGATTCCGCGCGAGATAAGGCGGCGGCGGCAGATTGCGTGGGTTTTGATCAACTGGGATCAGAGTTTTCTGGGTTTGGAAAAGGATATAGGAGGCTCGGTTTGCTATTTATAGACAGGCATTGAGTTATAGAGTCCTTGGTATGTGCGCGCCATATACACCTCAAGGAGATCGACCATGCATGCATTAGGAGGAAAAGGAATTTCGCTAAATTTTTTTTTTTTTGAGAACACGCTTATTGGTATTTCATTAAGAAGATAAGAGTTTGAAAACGAAACTTGGTAACAAAACGTTACCAAGTGTCTGGATCCAAAGGTAAGACACTACATTGTTGTTAGCGAACGCAGCGACAGCACCTGGAAAGGTGGGCGGCCGCAGCTCGCTCCTCCTGATCAACATGGATGGCGAGAGTTGCATATGGGCTTCCTATGGTTCCGCTCCTTCCACAAGCTCCACCCTGCAGGGTGAAACCTTGCGAAAGAACTTCTTTGTTGCCAATCCACCACTCCATGGCTCCCCGTAGCCATGATTGATGTGTACTCTTGACAAGCAGATGAGCCACACTTCTCTACTAAAACAGCAACCCAAAATGATATGGTCTAGGGTCTCAGGCTCTTGATCGCAGAAAATGCAAAGGTTTGAATCTTGCAAACCATGGCGGAAGCGGCGATCCTCGGTCCAGCAGCGGTTGTGCATGGCTAGCCAGTAAAAGAAGCGAACTCTTGGCGGGGCAGGTGCAGATGAACTTTGCACCAAAGACCGTGGAGGATCAAAGAACAATGAAGAGTACCTTTGGGGCATCCAACAGCATGGCTTGATAGCTGCACCTCCTAGATGGTCGGCGCATAGAAGATGGCCCAGACGCTAGGCATTTCGGGCAGGGGCCACCGCGTTGCCCGACGCCTCCTCCCAACTGCAACAAAGCGATGGGTGCCTCGCGCGCCCTGTGCTACCATTCAACGATCCATGGGATGGAACGGATCAGGTGGTGGTGCGCCAAACACCGGAAGCGAGGCGATCGCTAAGTCTGTCCTTTTGAACTCGAGTGCAACCCCAGCCTTCTCAAGTCGGTGCGAGCCCACCTCATCGGCACTTGGGGAATTCGCCGATGATGGTAGCTTATCAATCGTCTCAATTGATTCCGCAAGGCGATGGAAGGCGGTATGGCGGTGGGCAGAATGCGCAACATTTAGAAGATTACCTTTCAACTGGTATTCTTGGCCACTTTATCAATGATAGCTCTTTCAAGTGGTTTGGACAAAGAGCGATACTAAGCAAGAGGCACTCTGTCCATATCTTTGCAGTGAATTGGTGTGGCCATATCAAGGTTGGAGAAGACAGGCAGGCCGAAGATGGACAAGGTCCTTTGATTAGATCACTCTCAGATGGGGCTACAAAAATGACCAGGTCATCGGCATATAAACTGACTCTGGCCCCTGGAATTCCAGCTAGCGGTGTGAGGTAACCGTGTTCTTCAACCCAGGTCAGGAAGGAGTTGAGTACCTCCATGACCAAAACGAACAGCATCGGCGATAGAGGGTCTCCTTGCCGTAGTTCGCTAAAAAAATTAGGAGAAAAAGAAACGCAAGGAACAAATGGAAACAAAAGAACAGATCGGAAGGCGGAGGATTAGATGGCCTGATGGATGATGAACTCAAATATATTGGAGCAGAAGAAAAAAAGATTGTTGGAAACTCCAAGAAAATTGATTAAGCTCAAGAAAGCAAAGATTTAATTTCAAGATATTTGATTTCAGAAAAAGACAGAGATATGCTGCAGAAAGAAAATCGTTGTACTAAATGTGTTTTGAAAACTTTACACACTCACAACACATAGTCAATCAACAAGCAAACATCGCACCACAAAAAGCCCGT